GAATGATTTTTACAGGAGCAGATATTGATATCCTAACACGAATGTAGTTTTCTGTGGACAGCCGGGGAAAGATTGTTATAGAAGGAACGTTGCACCGCGCATCATTTGTAACGCTGTCGCACTCCCAAGCATATTATTTATCCATGCCACCTGTTACATCTCGTCTCTCTCAAACTGATCCATTATTGTTTATACAATATTGAAGACAATGAAACCCAGCTTGGCCGAAGTGTTCAGGGATTCCCTCAATAAAAACGGTAAATGGTTTTTATTGCTGTTATTTAAGAATCATGGGTACAGTTAAATGGATATAATAGGGGAAAATAACCTAAGTAGCAGATATTCCTCCCCAAAGTGCTGTGGCATTGAGGGTACCTCTCTTAAATGACCTTGAAGGAGGTATTATAGAAAAGGCAGAATGTTTTTTGGCATCCTTGGCTGCTGAGTCAGCTCTTGTGATATGTTTATCTGATTGAGATACTGTCTCTGTTACTGATATCAGCACAGTTAACTTTTCTCAGAGACTGCTTCTTTCCTCCAAAAGCTATTGAATGATATTAACAGGTGTCACAAGGATCTTAACGTGTGGGGCTTTTTTTTTTTCCAGAGAATAAAATTATTTAGGGTGTTCAGATTAACAATACTCTCTTTTCTCCCTGTTTTTCTACAGACTCAGTATCTGTGAGGGTAGCTAATAAATGGAATAAACTACCAAAGAAAAGCATAGTTTAAAATAAGTGGCATAAGCACTTACTGAAATGGAAGCTAGACACGTTGTTGGACTAAGACCAGCTACTAGATCTTTTTCCATGAGGTCTAGTTATTAAGATGATAATTAATGTTACATTTTACACACATAGCAAACTCTTCCAACAGCTGTCTAAAGTTGGGAACTTTGCTTTGTACCCATTTTGTGGATGGGTGAATTGAGGCTTGGCAAAGAGAACTGATTTTTAAAATGTCTTTTCCTGAATTAATATTAATATTGCACCCAGAAGATTTGCTGTCCAGTCTTTGCTGTAAACACAGAACAACATTCCCTTTGTTTTCACGTGTCTTGGAAAATACGATGCTGGGCCAACGGAAGCGTCCCCGATGGGTTCTCCCTTCAAGCATTCAGTGGTATTTTCCAGTATTTTCTTAACTACCCCAAGATGGACTATACCTAAAACATAGGGAAAATCGGTAGTCACAGTGAGCTGTGTCATATTAATATGAGCTGTGTCATATTAAGAGCAGCAAAATGTTCTGGAGTTATTTACATAGGGGGCTGGAAGATAGAAAGTTTGCTGGTTTTCCTAGAATAGTGTTTCTTAACCTTTCTGGACTTGAGACTTGTCTCTATAACTTTTGTGAATTGAGTGGCACCCAATTTCAAGAAATAATTTATGTATTACAGTGCTTATCTCCTTGCAGAGGGGCTAGGCAAGGGGAGTGGGGGCTCAGCCAGGTAGGGACAAACCTGAGCCTGCACTTACCTGCTTACTTCCTCACACCTTGTGGCACCCTGGTTGAAAATCACTGCCATAGAGTACATCTGAATCTCTTATTGGCAGTCTTCAAAGGTAGCCATATATAGCCTGCCCATCTAGGAGAGAGAATGAAAGGGAAAAAACATAGACCATTCTGGAAGATTGATTCATACCAACTCCCGAGTCTAAGATTTTTGTAAAGTTTTAAAATGTTAATGTCTTATTTCAGAGTTCAGATCTTGGTGCTAGCAATGACAGCTCCACAACAGAACCTGACCCGAGTTTTGTAAGAGAAGATGCACTCGAGGAGCTATCTCATGCCTGCTGTTCCTCAGTTATCCTCACTTAAGACTTGCTTTTACTTATTTGAAAGCACAATTTCTACTTGAGTTAAAGTTAGCAATTTTATTTTATTTTTTTACCATTGCGGTAGAACCATAGCATTTCTTCTTAAAATCCAGTGGATACATGTAGTTATTTCCTGTTTATTCAGTGATGTTTAATGCAGAGCAGGCATACAGGCGAAACTTGCTAAGACTCGTTAGTGACTTCATATATGCATCTCCCTAGCAATGATTTGAAAATGCGTCTCTGCAAGGTCAAGAAAATATCTTAAGATTAAAAGTATGAAACTCTAGAGCCGAAGGACACATGTTAGTAGAAGTCTTGCCCCAGTGACATATTGATAGCAAACTGAACTGTTTGGTCTTTTGACTCAATTTATAGTGTGCTAGCTGCAGCTGTTGTTAAGCAACTGGTTGGTAAAATGTGAAGTATTTTTTTTCTTTGAAAAATATTTCAGACGTGCTAGTCATAAGCAGAATTTGGAAGTAATTTTTAGTTGTTCTTCCGGTCTTGACCTGGAACTCAGGCAATGGAATAGCAAGTGTTATGAATAATCACACCCTTTTATTTAGAGTTTGTGAGCTTGAGACCTAAGTCATTTGAAAGACTGGTTAGTTCCTTGGAAGGGTTACAGCTTATGTCAACAGCAGTATTCGGTGCCAGGTGGAGGTACCCAGGCTAGCTTTGACCAAGTGATCTCAGTTCCGGAAGCAGCCTAGCTGTGTTCAGCACTGTGCCCCCATTCTTTTCCAAAATAATTAGCTCTCAAATAATGCCATGTTAATGCAGCTATACTGTCTCCAGTAGCCAAGGTGGCATGTTTTAAATTAACTTGAGTATCTGTACATACCACAGCACTATGGGCATTTTTAGATATGCCCATAGTGGTGACATTGTGCAGCAAGTATATTAGACTCTTATGTAAAAGAATTTCACCCGCGGCCATAGACTGAATGACCTTTTGCATTTGTGCTGTTGATTCTTAGGCCTGTACTTAACAGCATGGCTTTTCTTCTGTTTCAAAACGGATTTCAATCTGTTAGTGGTATACAACTGCATGCAGTCCACTAGGGAGTTCCAGTGGCCTGCCATAATTCTTCGTTAAATCGTTAGGAAACAAAAATAGATCTGAAAGGCAGAGCAGTGAGTCCTACGTCCTCAATGTGCAGCAGTGTATTAATCTGTGCATGTGCCTACACGCATGGCTTGCCTTCTTGCTTCTCAATGTGATGAGGGCTTATATAAGATCAGTGAAGATCCTGCTAGTAGCAGTCCTTCGGTGACAAGTTCAGCTTGCAGAAGTGGACCTCGAAGTTTGAGCTGTGCACCCCTGAAAACTCTTGTTGTTAGACTCAGGAGATGTCAGAGACTGAGAACGGACGCTTGATTTGCTTCTCATTACTTAAGATAGGACATCAGCATGGAAGGTGTGGGACCAAAGAGTTGCAGAAGAGATCAGTTGGGTGGTTTGCCCTTTAACAGCACATGGCAGTTTCAGAAGGTGGCGAAGTGACTGCTGTCTCTTAAAGGGAGGTGGGGGATGGGGAGGTCAGGCATCATGTTTTTTAAACCATATTTTTAAGATAGCTTGCAGAAACAAAATCAAGCTAATAATATAGATATGGACCCATCAGCAATAGAAATTCCTATTGCCCATTAAATTAGAAAGGCTTGAAACCTGCAAAAATGCTTCTGAAAGTGCAGAAATGGGATGTTCCAATTTTTGGTACTATAATTAGGGCCCCAGGCTAATTGCCCAAATGTTCACAGCTGAGGCGCTTCTCAGAGTTGCAGCTTCTTGGCATGGCCAAGGGTTTGGTTTTAGGTGGACAAGGTCTGAAAGCTGGATGAAGGCACAATATAAAGCAGAGTAATGTTCTTTTTTCATGTGGGATGATGCAGGGCTCGCCTAGGCAGCCTCTAAGGGCACCTTTCGAAGATAGCTACGGTGCTTCATTTTTCGCCAGGTGACGTGCAAATTGGGATGGCATGTCATGGTGCTGCTTCTGGGTGTGATGCAGAGACAATTCAGTCATGTCCACAGTGCCTCCATAGAAAAAACTTCTTCAGCAAAGCTTCTGTTCTTGTATGTTCTGTAGTGCATTTGATGGTAACCATACTTTCATGTACCTGTGTAGCAGTCGCACCAGAAAATGTCACCCAAGAGCCAGGTTGCGTTATTCCATGCACATATGAGCAAGAGAGGGTGCAGAGCTTGGCGTCGTAAATGGAGGTGACCATTAAAGAAAGGGACCAGAGTGCTGCCTAAAAGGGAAATGAAGGGACCAGAGTGCTCTTTCCTTCAGCTAATACAACTGGTGGACGGCAAGAGGGGGAAGCATGCTTCAGTCATTGAAAATGTGGCCTGCGGTGCTGCTGTTGCTGCTGCCTGAGTCCTCTTAGATTTGGGCATGCATTTCACAGGAGTCCTAACAGGGATTCTGGCTGTCTCAGCATCTTATAATCCACTCACCGCCATGCAGTCCTTTCTTCATGGCTGAGCCCTCCAAACATCCTCCCCCACTATGCTTCAACATGAGGAATCTTATCATTTCTATCATTCAAACACAATTTTATTTGTCATTCATTTTTCACCTTACAAACACAGCCAGCGTTAAGTCTCCCTGTTTTATAATATCTCCCTTTCCCTGGAGTCTTCATTCAGGCCAAAGTCCTGTTGACTTCAGGGAGAGGGAAACGCATGTAAATGGGATGTGTGTGTGTGTGTGTGTGTGTGTGTGTGTGTGTGTGT